GGGTAGAAAGGGGAACCGATCACAATGATCTACATATAACCCCTCCCTGGGGGATGGACAACAGAAAAGTGGGTAACGGGAGACATCAGTCAGTGTAAGGGGGGCTGGGAAGGGTGGGGGAATGAGGAGCTGATACCAAGGGCTCAAAGAGAAAGAGAATGTTTTAAGATTGATGATGGAAGCTAATGTACAAATGTGCTTGACACCATGGATGTATGAATGGATTGTGGTAAGAGGTGCATGAGCCCCCAATAAAATGATTTAAAAGGTGGGGGACAACAGACGGTGTAAGATATGAAAATAATAATTTATAATTTATCAAGAGTTCACAGGGAGTTGGAGAGGAGCTGATACCAAGGACTCAAGTAAAAAGAAAATGTTTTAAAAATGATGATGGCACCGATGAAACATACAACTTTGCTCTAGTTCTTTAATGCTTCCTCCCCCACCCCACCCCACTATCATGACCCCAATTCTACCTTACTGTGTTAGACAGAGTTCTCTAGAGAAACAAAACAAGGACACAGATAGATGATAGATAGATAGATAGATAGATAGATAGATAGATAGATAGATAGATAGATAGATACAACATGAAGAAATAAACAGCTAATTAGTCCACAGAGTAGTACAAATGGCTCAGTTCAACTCACTTTCACGAGACAGTTACCGCACTGGCAGTCCTTTAACTCACGAGGGCTGCTGGGTACAAGTCAAAGAAGCAGACAGCCGAGTCTTCTATGAGCAATACAGGCAGTCCGGCCACAAGCAGCAAACAGCAGGGCAGGTCACCAACAGTCAGCCAGATGACAGGGTCTGAGAGTCCCCAGCTCAAGTGATGTATACACCAGCCGTGTGGTGAAGCAGGTTTCAAATGAACCTCAAACTATAGCGATGGTCCACAGGTTAGGTGTCCCACAGGTAGTGTAACTTGCATTGAGGCAGAGAGCGAGCTAAGGCAGCCACACACTGGTCCGATCTTCAGACAGCAAGAGACAGAAAGGTGAAGCTCACCGAGCCATTTATTTCTTTGCCCTTCAATTAAACTGCAATCTTATTAATCCCACATGCATTTATTGCCCAGGTTGGCACAATATACCTGCCGATCACACTTACAATCTGGCTAGACCAGAGCATGTACATGGGTACAGATAAGAACTGGAAACACAGGGAATCCAGGACAGACAAGCCCTTCAGGACCAACAATGAAAGTAGCAATACCAGGAGGGGAAGGGGAAGGGTGGGGGAGAGAGGGAACCGATCACAATGATCTACATATAACCTCCTCCCTGAAGGATGAACAACAGAAAAGTGGGTAAAAGGAGACATCGGTCTGTGTAAGACATGGAAAAAATGTATAAATTATCAAGGGTTCATGAGGGAGGGGGGAGGGAAAACAATGAGGAGCTGATCCCAAGGGCTCAAGTAGAAAGAAAATGTTTTGAAAA